AATATTACTGACACCTAGTGGCTACAACTGATATCAGTACAGATATAAAGAAAGAGACTAAAAAAAAAACACGTTTGCATAGAATATGTGACTAATAACAAATTAAACATACATATAAATAGAAACGTTCAGAAAAATTATTTTTAATTCAGTTTGATAATAAGTTAAGTGGTGGTGTGACTTGATTAAACATTTTTAATGTTTAAAGCAGCAACATTTTCAATTCAAAAACCAGTTTTGCTGCTAAATTCTTGTAGAGATAGACATATGAGCACAACAAAAAAATATATATTTAATGTTTTAATCTGTTGTTTAGGTTATTCAGCCATCAGATTGGTGCAAAGTGCTGTTATGCCCAGTGAGCTTTTATATGTTTCAGATACTCTTGATCATTTATGGAACTTTTTAGAGAAAACTTTTCTTTGTGTGCTGCTGCAACGTGTTTAGCATTGAAACGCTAACGTAGCCTTGATTGGCTTCGGTGAGGCTAACTCCATTTATTGGAGTCTTTTCCAGCAACCCATCAGATCATGGTTTTTAAAGCAAAAATTAACCCCCATTGTACCAAGAAAAGCGTCTTTGTCGTCCATCGTTTTTGTTTTGAGGATGTCGCTTGTGCATCAGATTCACAGGGTGTACCAGAAACACACAAATACAAAGGTTCCGGCCGGATTTACAGTATCAAAGTTGCACTAAAGGTTGCACTAAAAGTCCATTAAAAGTGAAAACTTTGCACTATTCGGTCAATAATGACCCTTTTAATGCAAAGTTCTACTAAAAAAATGCTTAAGTCCATTAAAAATGTCATTATTTACCGAATGACACTTCAGGACAACAGTCATAAACATTCATGAAAACTCCTTCATGTCCATAACAGATGTTATGTCAGTCTTATCAACACCCCTTCAAATAAAGTGCAACCAAAATTTGTTCTCTAAAGCCACACTTAGCTTTAGAGAACAAGGTTTTACATTTTTGACAGAAAAGGACCAGAATTAGCCTGTAACTGGGTAAATCATAGCAATAGTGTTGCTTCATTTAGACTCAAAGCCCATGAGTTGAATTTAAAACAGGCTGCATCACTTCACTGTGAAATAATTAACCTGGTAAGTTAATTAAATGTGGTAAGCCAATATCACTCTGCACCTTTGCTCAGATCTCTGTCACATATATTCCTGCTGCAGGAATGTAATGAATCAGAGAAAACCTGAGTGGAAGCGGTGCTGCAGCTTCCCTGCATGCCTGTTGACGCTGTGGCTGCTGCTGCTCTCTGATCCCTCTGTTTGCCTCTGCTCTGTCTCCGCGGGCGGACGCTCCGCCATCACTAACCCGACTGGAGACGATGCGCTCTCCAGGCTTTCAGAGTTCATTGGCCGTGGACGAAGAAGCAGGAATGCTTTTAATCACAGCTGTGTATGCAATTCTTAATCCTGCTGGAGGCTGGATGCAGCACCAGGCCAGAGCTGCACTCCAGCGACCCAACGCGCTGAGCGAAAGAGGGCAGGCTGTGTCTTTCTTCCATATTTGTGTGCGCAAAGGCAGAAGGGACATTTTTAAGTGCTGATCTCACCGATGCTTGAGCTGTTGTCGGCTTCCTTTTGCTTTTCGTTTCTTTTTTTTTTTTCCTTTTTTTTTTTTAGAAAAATACCAAAGGCGGTGAGAAGATCATCTTATCAATAAGTGGCAACCGGCTTCATTTTGTTTTGGTTAAACTTTCATATTTATTTTAAACTCAAATTTCCTTTTTTTTTTTTTTTTTTTTTTTTAAGTCAGGAGTTTTTCACATTCTGAATATTTTGAGCACAATCTATTCAGTTTGAAATACTTCTATAATACCTTTTTATAGGTTTCACACATCACAAAACAAATTGAATACAAAATGCTGAAAATCTAGCAAAAAATTCACAGTCGGGACCAACTTAGTCCAGCTTTATTTAAAATTCTGTAATTCTTGTATTTGCACAATTGATTATAGGGATGTAATATTTTCATGTAATAAATTCATTAAAGCACAATTTGTGTCTTTATTTTGTTAGAAGTCCAAAATGCAGCAGCTCCACCCTGTTGCTTTGACTAGACCCAGTCTAAGAACCACAGGTTCACTTCAGCCTCAGACTTAAATTATTTACAGTCCAAACAGTAGTGAAGTTGCTCTTTTGTTATTTTTTTAAAAAATCGGTTTAACAATTATTTAATCAAAACCTATATAATAAAGAGAAACACTAATCAAACGTGAAGTGGCAAATCAAAAATAATGTAATGTAAATATAAATCAACATTAAACCTGCTGCATTTAGTAAATTTCTGTAAATGTCCTCCACAGATTAATACCTGGCTTCATAAACATGGAAAGCTGAGACACAATTATTATTAAAACTCACATCAGTGAAGCGCCGGGACAAATCACAGCCTAATGATTTGTTTAACGCACGTGTCGGACGCGTCGCCCACGGACGCGGCCTCTCGTTGCGTTCTGGTGCGTCGTTTTCCTCCGCGTGAGCCTGAGGGACAAACAAAACGCAGCAAGCGTATCTGGGCTGAAGCGGCGCGCGCCAACAAAACGTCCGGCAGCGTGGAGTGTGTGTGTACGCCGAGCTGCCACAGGGGAAGCAGATAAATGTTTGAAATATGAATTATTTGATCGTTATCTGCCGGGCTTAGCAAAAACAAAACTGAAGCTTGAAAGGGCTGAAAGGACGAAATGTTCCGGTTTTGAATTTGAGAAACGCTGAAGAAAAAAAAAACACCATAGGGATCATGTTTTTCATTAGAATTGATATTTCGTGGATCTCTCTTTGCATGCTGAACTGAACTTCCCACCTTCTCTTGCACATCCTGTTGATTACAGTCAACATTCTGCAAAACATTTGTTGATAGCTGTTGATGCAACAGCTTTTTTTTTTTTTCTTTTTTTTTTTTGGTGCGTCCCAAGAGTCTGGTCTTTCTGGAAAAGTTCAGAAAAGAATGCTGTTGTTGAAAAATGGCCATAAACACAGCACCACCAATCAGAAGACACTAAAGTTGAACCCATGTAGCCCAGATGCAGAACGATATCAGAGAGCTGACACCCCTAACATGGCAGTGGCCTACAAACCTGACCAAGACTGGACCAGAACTCCAGCAAACTATTGTGAGAAACTTTTGAAAAAAGTTCTTGGCCCAAGTCATACAATAAAAAAAAAGATATTCCGTCCTTAAACTAAGCAAACATATGTAAACTTCTGAATCAAAAGAAAAAAACAACAAAAAAATTGTTCTGGCTAAGTTTTCTGGCAATCGGCAAATATGAATAATTCTGATAATTCTGACTAACCTAAGACAAGAACAGTTTGGCCTGATTTTAACTTCAGACGATGAGCAAACACTTCAGTCTGTTCACGTTCAAAGCTGATAGAGACGTATCCCAAAAAAATCGGTATAATCATCGCTAAAGGTGGTGGAAGGAAAATATTATTTCAGAATCATGTTGCTTTAAATGCCCCAAAAATACATCGAAGATTGTGGTTGGAATATGACCAAAGGAGAAGTTCAAGAAAGGGTGTCTTTACTTTTGCACATATCGCTGTGAGACATTTTCCAACCTGCCTCCCAAACATAAACAACAAAAATGATTGATCGGAGTCGCTTTCAATACTACTGAAAAAAAAAAAAATCCACGCCGATCGGTAACAAATCGTCTCAAACGTCAGTGAGCTCATAAGCGACGTCGGTCTGTGTTTTGCTTGCGGATTAATAATATGCAACGATAATAACACGCCTAAAAATAATCAGTGGAAAGCTTCCATGTTCTTGCATGTGGGGTTATTTAGGAGTCTTTTGCCCCTGTGTTTACACTGCCGTGCTGAGTGTGTGTTTGGGAGAATGTAAATGGGCGATAAATCTGCGCTGACATCCCTCTCCCTCACCCCCGTGCCTCCCCTTCGTCTTCTCTACTTCCACCCCTGCTTCCCCTCCCCTCTTCCATCTCCAGCATCGGCCTCTTCTCACATGTTACCAATATGAATCTGGGATTACATGTGACTGCTGCATATTTAGGAAAAAGTGGCGGAGGTGTTGCGGATGCCAGGTTGGGCGGATGAGAGGCATCGATCACCGCGTCAGCCCCGAGGACATACTGCCGAAAGAGTATTAGAGGGTTGAACCGTGTGTCACGGCCGTGTTAACGGCTTCATTGGCCAATGTTGTGTCCAGCAGCGGCCGTTGAAAAGTGCCCTCAGCTATTTATGGAAAAGGTGTGTGGAAAATATACCAGCAACACCCTACAGTATGATAGCGAGACCCAGCGGCGTAGGAAAAGTACCAGGCGTATATTTTTAACTCCCCCCTCCTTTATTTCCCCTCCTGCAATATCCTAGCTTCATATTTACCTTCCTTGTGTCACTAATGAGTCACACCAGGAAATGTGGTGTCATGGCTACCAAAGTCGTGGATTTCTATGTTGGCTTAGACGTTTATCTCCATCAGGTCCTTCGGGTCAAATTCACTCCGGTTGGTGTTTGTGTGGCTACCGTGTTTCTACAGGGCGTAGCTAAAGCATTCGATGCAAACCAAGCCAAAACCGACAAGTGTACCGAAGAAATGTGAAGGAACTTTCTGTCAAAGACTTTTTTTAAAAGGTTTTTCATGTATTTTCTTGTAACAAAAAAGTGGAAAATTTAAGTTGTTTAAATAAAAAAAAATGTGTCAATGTACCAAGAGATATATGGTAAAAGAAAAAATGTGGAAAATTTACCAAGAGAGATATGGTTAAAAAAAAAAAAAACTAAGGAAAACTTTTTTTTTTTTTTTTTTTTTTTTTACAAATCTTTATGAGAAAAATACTTTCTTTCTTCCAGTTTGTAAATAAAGTTGTCACACAACTGGTGCTGCCAATTCCTGTCTACGCACATGTTGTTTATGGCAAAATCCACAGAAACTAATCTTTGTTCCCTTGGCACAGTAAAAATTAATTATCTATTTTAATTTTCCTCCATAATTAAAACCATACTTAAATCCCATTCAGTTTACAACATAGCTACATTTTGACATTATGGCAGAAATATTCATTTTTATCAAGACCCGGCTGTATGTGAATAAGGCCTCAGAGTGATTTAGGTGACATTTTTCCCCACTTAATAAAATGAAAATAAAGAAAGTCATCATTTGAAAATGTTTTCATTAAAATTTGCTTGCTCCACAAACCTTTCAGTGTGCATCTACAAGAAGACCTGCTAATTAGCGTCAGTTTTACACTAACAACCACCAAGAAAAAAAACAAAAACCATCTTCACATTAGTCACATACACACCAGGCAGTTGCCAGAACCCAACTTCCAGGAAAGCAGACAAAGAAATCAGCTGATATTTAATTATCAATGATGCCACTTTGATGTGTTTCTGTCCGCGGAATCAGACATCAATTTCCTCCGCCCACCGCCCTGATGCGGCCCTGATGCTGTTATTTGGCTACGGAGCGATGTGATGCCTGGAGCTGTGTCTGCTATTGACTGAAGCCGTCCGGTGGACAGGATGTTCCTGAGTGTCCTCAGGCTCCAGGTGGGCTCCTTTTCTCCCCCTCTCTCTCTCTTTCTCTGATTCTCCGCGGACCTACAGACTGTTTGTTTTTCCGGCTGAAAGCCGCCATTTGCCCTCCTGCGATCCCAACCCACCTCCTCTCTCCGCCTGGGGAAGAATGTAAACACAACGCGAAGACGTTAGCATGTGCTGCTGTATGTGTTTGTTCATGTGCAGACAGAGTTAGAGGATAGTGTCCACCGCTAAATATGCAAAAATAAAATCTTATCAAAGTATTTTTTGGTCTAGTTTCTAATAAAAAATATCTTAGTAGACTTGAAATAAGGCTAAGCTAACTTACAAGGTACTTTTCAGCAAGATATCAGAGCTCGTTTTAAGCTAACAATAGCCAGCAAATCCTGATTATTCCAGTTTTGACTGTTTGATCTCGTTTTTATTTTTGTTGTATTATCTTTATTTTGTCTACCTTGGTTGTTTAACTCTGAAAAATTATAAATATAATTTATAAAAAATAAATTTATATAATGTATAAAAAAAGAGTCTTACTTATTTCTCTTATAACATGGGGAAAATATTGTATTTTTCACCAATATTAAGGAATTATTGACTTAAAACAAGCTCTTATTTCAAAGTTACTTAAGTTAGTTTTAGCTTTCAAGGTTCCTAAGATATTTGCACTAGCAACTAGACCAAAAATACTTGGTGAGATTTCGTGTTTCTGCAGCGCAGGAACCAATTTGGGTTATCTTCCTCCTGCACCTAAAAATGGACTCAGGTTTCATTTTGCTGGCTGCTGTTTACCGAGATATTTAAGTATATGCGCGCAGATTAATTACTCCTTTCCTCGTTCTGCTTCACTACAACACAGCAGCCTAATGTCTTCACACCATGCAGCCTCTTTACCGAGAAATGTTTGCGCTGTGGACGTGAGAAATGGCCGCGGCTCTCCCGCCAGAGCAGAGCGCGGCAGGCCTGCAGGCATCAGAGACCCAAACAGTTTACACACTGGAACCGCAACATCTTAAACTTCGCACATAGCACCTGTCGTGTCTGCTAAACACTTTCTAACCCATTTAGAGCGGATCGTAAACATTAGCCGGGCCGTCGCTTGCCTAATACGCGTTTCGAGCAGCATCTCCCGGCGTCAGCTCAAGCGGGCGACTAGCACTGAGCCGGTGGTGCAACGGGGCGAAATGCGCCTGACCTTTTTTTTTTTTTTTTTTTTTACAACTTTCACTTAAAATTCACTCCCTGATTTCCAGGCTGTTTGTTTGGGTCTGAGGCTCGATTTACGTAACCGTGTTCATAACAGAAAGTCAGTTTGATTAGTGGGAAGAGAGGCTAAGTTATTTAATAATATTTCAAGCAGATTAACAGTTCCATCTGTCTGTCCAAAAGCGAGATCACACCCATATATTCCAGTCAGTTCCAGATTTTTTTTAAAAAGAAGGTATTTTAACATCAAAATGACCAAAATGTAATATGTGTTGAAATAAGTGATAATCAAGAACAAAGAGAAAAATTTTATACAACTTTTTCTTTCTTTTTTTTTTTTCTGGTCGCATGTATCTAAATGTGATGTGATTGTTTAATTTCTCTTGTTTCTTATCTTGTTCAGCCCAGGACACAATTTGAAATAAGGTTTTTAATAGCAACTTTTTATTTCATAAAGATCAGTTGCCATAGTTCAAAGGCTTGGATAACTAACAAACCGGCACCATACCCAGAGATTTAAAAGCCCACTGCATTGCAATTACTTCATGAAAGCATGAAGTTGTGCACATAAGAGTCACAAACCTTATGTGCATAAGAATTGATTGTAGGATTAGTTCTCTTCTGTTGTACTTTACATTCTGTTGCACTACAAAGGTGCATAGAAGGAAAGACAAAATACGGAGATGCATGTAGATTGCAGAACACTAGTAGGCTACGTTTACACAGCAGGTTTTGATGCTTGATTCTGATTTGTTTATTTTTCATTAAATCAGTTTTTTGTTTTTTTTTTTTTTTTTTTTGGTCATTCATACTACTTAATACTGCAACCAAAATCAGACTTATGTGTGAACGATTTACGAGCCTGAAGTCCTCTGCATGTGCAGAAGAACTGGATACACGGAGCACCGTTTACAGAAGTAATAATGGATGCTGCTGTTTTTGTAAACACAAAAACTGCTAAATCATGTTGGAAAGCTGTTCAAAGTTTTGGGGAAGATTGAGAT